AGAAGAAAAGATGAGGGAGGGAAGTGCTATATTTACACTAGGGTTTTATAGACAACTGTCCCATTCCATCTCAATTCCAACCCTGGCCCAGAAAGTGAGAGGTGGCAGGTCCAAGGGACAGAGATTAAGTGTCTAAGGACCCAGACAGCCTCCCACCCCCAACTGTAGTGGGTCCCAGTTCAAGTCCACAAGGTCGGAAAGAAGAGTAGAGTAGGAACTCATTTCCAAACCAGTCTCCCTTGGAAATTCCTGCCTTGAAGTGGGACAATATCCAAGCTTCAGGGTATAGGCTGAGGACCCTGAGGCTCAATTCCCAAGTCATGTTGTCATTTGGAAGTTCCAGCCTAGAGACAGTGATGTCAGGGCTCTCCAGATTTGGGAGGACCCCCTAATCGCCGGGCCTCTGGCCGCAGTTCCTTGCACTTCTGGCAGTAAAAGAAGTCAGGGACATTTGTCTTCTTAATCTTAGCACAGGAGAGGTGGATCCATGTTCCACAGAGGCTGCATTCAATCATGGGCCGCCCAGCAAAGGGCTTTCGGCAGTAACACGTGATCAGGTCCCATGAGTCATCACCTGGGGGAAAAAAGGTTAGTTTGGTGGTGTGCCTGAGCTGTTGCATCCACAATAGCCCCATACCCATTATCCCAGCTGCCCCTGGACAGCCCCAACCTTCTCACCTGATTCTACCATGATGTCCTCATCCATGACCCGCATCTCCCCTTCACTGGAGCTGGCATCTCCATCTTGGCTTGTTTCAGTGCTGCCAACCTCCTTGCTTTCACTGTCAGTAGGGGGGACTCCCTCAGGGTGCACTGTGGCAGGGGGCCTAGGAGCCTCAGGGGGTGTTGGCAGCACAGGGGCTGGGGTGTCACCCCCTACCATTGCTGTCATCTCTTCTTCCTCCTCTTCTTCCTCTTCTTCCTCCTCTTCTTCAGAGTCTGTATCACTGGGAGGTGCCCGGGGAGGCCCAGGAGGTGGGAGTCTATCCACCCGCTCTGACTTTTTCAACTTCCGCTTCTTGCTCTTCTTGATTCGAGACCTCTTTTCCCCATCCCCAGGGGCTGGTCGAGGCCTCCGAAGCACCCCAAAGCCAGCCCCTGCTCCTGGCCCCAGCTTTCGGTTCTTTCGGTCCTTCTTTCGAGGAGGCTGGGAGAGGTCCCCCTGAGAAAGGGGTACTGGGGTGAGAGCAGCAGAGGGCCGGGAGGCATGTGTGAGGGATGAGGGAGACAGTGGAGATGCCATTTTGGGACCATCTAAATCAAAGAGAGAGTCCTTGAGCTTCATCTTCTCAAGCAGGGTGGCACTGTCAGGGGCCTGCAGTCGAGAGAAAGTGGACCTTGGGGGTCCTGGTTGGGTGGGACCTGCCTGAGCGGCCCGTCTCTTGGATGACTTTGCCTTCTTAACAAAGGTCTGGATGGTTCGGAGATCTGAGGGGGCCGAGTCCCAGCCATCACTGTCTGCCGCACTCTCACCTCGTAATGGAGAGCTGGAGCCGGAGGCAGGCCAGTCACTTTCCTTAAAAGGAGGACAAGACCAGGGTCAGAGGGGGCCCAATATCATCTCTCTCAGTTCGTCTACAAACCCAGCTTAAAAACTAGGAACTAATCTACCCCTAAATACCCTGCCAAAATCACCAAATCTCACTGTACTCAAAAATTTATCCCTACCTCAATTCCCACTGGCATCTCCTCTTGAGCACCTCCATGTTACTTCTGCCCTTAAATTCTAGCCATCTCCCCAATCCCCACTGCCTTTGCAACATTGTAAGCCCCCCAACAAGAGCCATATTTCTTTAGCTTTGTTTCTGAACAACCTCATTGGTTACCATTTTCAGCTTCCAAAAATTTATCCAAGTGCTTTCCTTTAACAGCACCCTAAGACCATTCACTTCTGCTCAAGCCTCCTATCTCTACTAATCCTACCTCCACCCCAGACATTAGTTTTCCTACTAAAGTTTCTAACTGCCTTAATTTTACATATAATTTCTGGTAGGCTTCTCCTATAAATAAGTACTGTTCCAGTTGCTCAACTGTTGGCCACTACCCTCAAGTCGGTTAATCTCCTGTTCCTACCTCTTTGCTAGGGGGGATGTAACCAGCATAGGCCAAGACAAAACTGCAGAATTTGTTGAAATCCTCAATTGTTCTCCGACGTTTCTCAGGTGGCTGAAAGGAAGGAGACTTATATCACATGGAATTTAAGAAGGACATTTCCAAAGGCATAGTCCCAGGAATAAGGAATCTGGAAAAGGTAGGAGGGAGCGGGAAAGAGAAAAGAGAGGAGATAGTTGAACAATAATACTAGGCTGCAAAAGTCAGGGAAACCTTACCTGAGTCTCTGGCTTAAGGGTCGGAGGTGGATCTGTGAAAGCAATAAAAGCTGAGTCAAGGCACTAGGAAAGAGTCTGGGTAAAACCCCACCTCTAAATCTTGGAGATCCTAAGCGAACCCCCGGCTCTCCCAGGTCCCCCCCGAGCCCCGCCAGCAAGCCCCTGCTGTGCAGGCCCGCCCCTGCTCCCCCTTCCGCCCCGCGAGGGGCGGAGCCTGGGCGCGGCGCCCGCTCCGGCCTCGATATAGCGCTCCCCTTCCCCCAACCGAAGGCCTAGCGCCCCGCCCCCCTCACGGTTTCTCTAGACTTGTCTACTCCGATCTCTCAGCGCCCCACCCCGCCATACCGCGCTCCCGGGACCGTGCCGGGCTGCCGCCTGCCTCTATCCTTCGCAGGCGTCCAGTGTCCCGAGTTCCTGTCCGGCCGCGCTTTACCGCTTCGGTCCCTCCGAAACTGAACACTCCGCCCGCCGGCCCCCAGGGTCCAGGATGACCACGCTGAACCGCTCCCCGCCCTCCGGCCCCTTCTACTCGAGCACGAGGCCCGGCGCGCCCCTCACCCCCACCTTAAACACACACAGACTCAGACATCCAACGCCACTTTGCGTCCGGGACAGACCAGAGAGCTCTCGCCCGGACGCGGCCCCACCTGCCCCCACATACCGCGCTCCCCACAATTTCGCTGTCCCTCCGCCCCCATCCGGGGATTTGGCCCCTCCCCGCCTCGAGCTTCTCGGGCTCCCCGCCGGGCCCCCAGGCCCAATTCGGAGCTCTCTCCAGCCGCCCCCCCCATACTCACCATCAAGTCTCTAGGCTACGGACCCCTAAACTCTAGCCCCCCACTCAGCTACTCTCTCCCTCCACAGCCACCCCAGCTGCAGCCGCCGCTGCCCCCCTCACCCTCCGCAACTCCGAGGTTTTAACCCTCGCGGACCAACTCCCCCACTCCACCTCACAACTCGCCGGTCTTAATCCCCCCCACCCCGCCCCACCGCCCCTCAACTACCCAGCTCTCCTCGCTTCCCGGCGGGCTCTCTCTCCTCACAACTATCCCCCGGTACAGGTCCCTCTACTGCAGACAATACCCAGACTCCCTCTTTTCCTCACAACTATCTTCCCACCCCTCCAACAAATACCGGGCTATCTCCAGCGGTAACTACCGGGAGCTCCGGCACCACCGCCACAAACTCCCCACATCGGTGAACTACTGAGCTCCTCACTCAGTCCTCTTCTACCTCCTCTCTCAACAACTCTCCGGCCCCCAGATTCCCCCAGCCACCCAGCTCCAGGGCCCCAACCTGCCTGAGGCCCTCTCGGCCCCTAACCCCCGAAGCCGATTTCCAGCTTCCCCCCAACCCCACCCCGCAATACACAGCATCTGATCTCCAACTACCCCCCGCTCAGTCTCCCACTCCTCTTTCTCCAAGGTCTCTCAACTCGTCGTTCTCCCACCTCCAGGGGCAGGCCACCGAACCCCTCCCCACGCTCCCTCGCTGGGCTCCGGGGCTCGACCTCCAAGTTTGCCAATTGATTCCTTGCCTGCCGCCCTCCGGATTAGTGCTCAATGCCGGTCGAGAGCTTACCTTCGGGACTGGGCTCCGCCATGGCTTCCAGCATCGCCCCCTCCCCTCCTCCCGGTCCGGAGCCCCCTCCCGAGCCGGGATTCCCGGTGCCGCCTCCGGTGCTCGGTGTTCCTGTTGCCTCGCTCTACAGAGCTGTCTGCTTCGGCCTGGCTATGACTCGAGTCCGCTAGCCGCTGCCGCCACCTCCCTCTACCACTGCCTCCCGCACTCCCGGACCGAGCCCCCTCCCCCCGCGCCGCCGGCCGCCTGCTCCCTCCTCCTCCTCCTCTCCACTCCCTCCTCCCCTCCCTTCGCGGGCGCTGACGCGCAATGCATCAAGGGGCTTGTAGTCCACCTGGGGGCAGCGAGAAGGGGAGTGCATAAGCCTTGGGAACTTCATTTCCCAGCAAGCTACGGACTCGCGCAGGCGCACCAAAACGTTCCCCTCCTCCGGGGAGTGGCGGGGAGATTGGGAGCAGAGGGTAGAGCGGAAGAGCGCCCGCAGGTTCCTGGGAAACGTAGGCTGGGCGGGACTAAGAAGGAAGGGGAAAGAAGGGATTAGACCTCTCGGCCACCATACTGCCTCATTTTGCACCTTCTTTCTGCCCCAGGGGACCGCCCCACTTCCGGCCGGAGAAGTCGTTGCTGGGAGATGAAGTTCTTCTGGATAATGGATCCCTCCTCCTAGTCTTCTCCCTCCCTTGGATTCCACTCCACTACATCCCACATGACCGCACAAAGTCTGGCCTAGTTACATGCAACTGAGGATTGAGCCTCCACATAGGAAAATCTGTTCCCTAATCCAAAAGGTTATAACAAACTTGGATGTATTTATCTAAAGCAGGTACTTTCAAACTTTCTCCACAAGAACCCACAATAAAGAAGTTACTGTTTATATCAGGACCCCATACACATATATGCAACTGAAGTTTCAAGAAACAATACTCAAGAGTATCCCATCCATCACAACAAAGGCACCGTTTTTATGTACAAGGAAAAACCCAACATAACACAAAAAAACGAAATAATTACTACCCCTCCAACCTCATCTTTTCCCACCAACCACTAAAAAACAGAAGGGGGAAGGTAGCAACATAAAGCAAAATCCAGTTCAGCTTGATGGTTTCCTCTTTATTGATGTGCCTCCTACCTTCCCCCCACAATTTCAGTCCCTTCCACCTACCCCCAAAAAAGGTAGTGAAAGGAAAAGACTGTTGGGGTTCTGAGCCCCTTGGGCAGTTAGAAAGGGAACAGAAACCAAAACAATCACTGGATGTGACAGAGATCAACAATCAAGAAGTCTAAAGCAGAGTGGGAAAGATGGCAGAGAAGGGGGAAAAATGGAGAAAGGAGAGGTACTAGAGACCATCTCCCCCATTAACTCTCCTGTTAAGAGGATCTGGAGAAGAGCCCCCAATATTAGGAAATGCAGGTCCTGAAGGGAGGTCAAGGAAGGGGGGGCCACCTCTCTCTTTGTAGAATGGGACCCCCCACCACAGGCGCAGCAGCTTCACAGGCCATAGACGCTTTCATCACTGTAGGCAATGTATAGAAAGAAGTCTTCCTCATGGTGTTCCTGGGGTGAAAGCAGAAAATAATGGTGCTCAGGCATCTGGCCTTTAGTTACTTGAACCATCCACCACCCAAACAGATTCTTCAAAAACCATTTTTTGAAGACCCCCCAAACCACTGCCTTGATTCTCTCCCTCACTGTTCCAAGACTTAACAGCCTAACAGGATTATCCCTAAAAGCAGCCCCTGGGGTGGGGAGTGCAACTCACACTGTTCTCTGCTGCCTTGGAATGAAGAGGGGATAGGGGAAGATTCTTATCAAAACAGCTGCTCCAGTTCACTGTTCTCTCCCTTCTTGTCTACTCCCACTGCCCTGTCCAAATCCCCAACCCAGGACTACCCGGCTAATCCAAGAACTGCTGACCTAAAACTTTCTTCCCTTCCCCTCAAGGTCTTCCAACTCCTTTCCAAAGCCACCACTACTTTCCAATCACCATACCTGATACAGCTGACCCATGGTGGCACTGGTGGGTGGAATGACATTGTTGACGAAGAAAAACAAGGCATCCTCAGCACGGAGATGAATTCGCTTCCGGATCAAGAAATAGAACTGACCAACTGCCAAAAATATGAGATGTGATAAAGTTACAGATATCACAAATGCCCTCAAAAGAACAACTACTATATGGAGCCTCCTCCCACAGGTAGCAAACCTGGGTATCCCGTAAGGTTCCCACCTGTGAGATCAGAAGGCACCAGGTATTTCTTTTTGTCCAGGTCTCCTATCCGAGCTTTGGGAGCCTTTTCTACTATCACCTGATAAAGGGAAGATGAAAATTAGAAGACATTAAATATTACAGCCCCACAGGTCCATCTGTTAGGAACTAAAGCTTAACGATATTTCTAGCACCCAAACCTACCCCAGACTCATTTCTCTTTGTTTCTGAACACGTGGTGCAGCCTGAGTAGAGACCCGGGACCCCACTGACTCAACTCGCCTAAACATCCACGTTCCTGAATAGACAGCGTCATAATAAACAACTATATTAATCAGACGGGGCTGACTTATTTGGGCTCACTACAGCTTCAATCTCAAAAGCCTGGCTAGCTGCGGGGAATGACCATGTGACATTCAGATTGTCAAACTCCCTACTGCCTCCGACACAAATCCCAAGGTCTATTTTCCCCCATCTACACCCCTTCACCCCCAGCCAGCACCACTACCCCTCCTTTCACCTCCAGTCCCAGAGACAGCAGTTTCAGGCTCCTTCCCAACCCCACCACAGCCGGCAGCTTGATGGCCGCGCTGCCCATTCCGGACCCAAACCCGAGCTGTGGCGTCAGTGCCAGCGCCCCGCTCCCTCGGCCCTGGCTACCGTCCTCACCGGGACCCGGTCCGGGTATTTCTTTCGGATCTTCTCGCCCTCAGAGCGGCGCTTCTCGAACGGATGCTCCTCTTTATACACGAACTTCATCCTCCCGGGATCCGGGATCCGGGTTGGACCGGACTGGGATGAGGGAACCCAGGGAGGGGGGGCCGGGACGGGGGCCGGCAGCGACGGTGGCGACGCGCAGGCGGATTCAGCGGAGCGATCCCAGGCCTTGCGCTACTTCCCTATTCGCCAACCCCGCCCCCGCCCATCAAGGGCCGCCCTGCTTGCTATATTACGCCACCAGCGCAGCAGCCCTAACGCGGATCGCTTAGTACCACCTATTGACCGTGCCCCCCCCCCCCCCCTCAGCGTAATCTCTTTGGAATCAATTTGTGGCCTACGCAAGCGACGTAGCAAAGGTGGTTGGTTTTTACTACCGTCAAAAATAACTGAAAACCCATTCCCCGACCTTCTCCTTCGAAGCTGGGACGTAAAAGAAGCTAGGATACAGTAACCATAATTTGAGACTCGGTTTCCCCCTAAATTCTTTCTGGACATAACGTAAAGGAAAAGCAGAAATAATTACAAGGACAGCTATTCACGAAATGTGTTGGTACACTCAAGGCGGTCGTTGACACCAAAACAAAGTAGCACCCGAGTGGAGATTGTCTGAAATAGACAGCAGAAACTAAACATGTTTGGAGAGAAGCACAGAAAGCTTGGGTTTGAGGAGAGTGGACCAATAGCGACTGGAAGTAGGCCCGAAAGGTGGGGACTACGTCGGCGCGGAAGAACACTTTCAGCTTTGTATCGTCAAAATCATGTGATCTAAGGGCAGGGCGGAGCGTCACGTGGCGGGTGCCAAGGAAGTAGAGCCGGCTCCTGGGAGGAGGGCACTGGGAGGTGGAGCTCACAACTGCTGGAGCAGGAGATGGGAGGCTGGCCCGGCCCAGCCCACCCGGGAGAGCGGAAGGAGGGCCCGAGGGCACCAGGCGCCTGGGGGCAAAGCCCATTGAGTTTGTCTAGTCAAGTCCCTCAGTCCCCCAGCCCGGTCTTTCTCCAGCTACATGCTTTTTCTGGTGTTTAGGTTTCTCCTTTCATACATCTGTGTCCTATTGCTCTGAAGCTCAGGTTCCCTCAGGACATACAGTTGTCCTTCCACTCCTAGCCAGGACTCCCATCTTGTCACTAAGATGCTTCCCGCAAAAGCATTTGATGTAGATGTTCACTCTCCCACCTTTTCACCCTACCCCTAGGACCAGCAGCAGTCTCTCCCCTCTGCCCTTCATGTCCCAAAACCCCAGAGAAGGACCTGGGGCAGCTTTGGTTTTAAAGTTATAATACATGGTTTAAAAGAGAGGAGAGGTGAGGAAAAACAGAGAGAGAAAGCTGGTTACAGGTCTGAGGGAATCTAGGAAAGGAAAATATAGAGAAAAGTAAGGGGGGGACAAGTTTGGGGGAAATCCAGTGACCCAAATCCCAGTTTCCCACCCACAACCCAGACCTTGGAGTGAAGAATTAGATCAGTTTTGTACAACAGTTTTTTAAAAAATCAAATCACAACAAAGCTGGCTTGGCTTCTCTCTGAGCCTCCCGGATTATCGAATGTCTGTCTCACTCTGGCCAGTCCTCTCTCTCCACCACAGACAGTTTCGGCTCTCCTAGGCCTCCAGTCTGGGGTTTCCAGGGATTGCGAAGACGAAGTTAGAGAGAGGCTGCTTCAGAGTTTGGCCCATGTGTCCATCCAGACTCCACAGGGAGTGCAGGGCTCCAAGGGCAGAGAGGGGAGGGAGGGGCAGACCCTGCCCAGGCAGTCCTCACCACTGGACAGGGCATCAGACGGCATCCCGAGGGCTCACCCTCCCTTTCCCCCCCACCCCAATTCAGGTGGAGGGGGAGCAGCTGTCACCAGAGCCTATGTTGGTGAAGGTTTCGGCTTAGCACAGAGCGAACATCAGCGGTGAACCTGGGATGACAATAATTTGCGTTGGTAGAGTCCTTATAGTTGATATCCCCACAGCACTAGTGTGAGGCAGCCTCACTGGAGACATGGGGCAGTCACCAACTTCACATGAGACTGAGGTTCAGTCTGCCCAAAACCCAATGGCTAAAAGTGATCAGCTTTAATATAAGACCTGGGTTCAAATGCTAAATGCTTAAGGGAAGAGAGAGAGAAATAAGTAAAACAGGACAACCTTTTATTCCCTCTTGGGATTCCTCTACCGCCCCCTTTCCTCAGGAATCTAAGTGTCTAGCTTCCCTTACCTGAGGGCATCCAGCATCGGGAGCAGGTTAAGAAGGGCGGTGTCACTGGGATCACTGAACCAGGACTTGATGGGGATGGCATTGTCTAGGTTGAGTGGAAAATGCACATTAGAAGAAATGAAGGATTCAAGAGGGAAAAGGTGTTTTTTCTTTTGAGTGTAGGATTATCATTACTTTAAAATACATGTATATATCTCGCTACCACCCACCCACTCAAAATCAATAACCTAAGTAAAAACCTTCCTGATTTATACTCCAAAATAAAATTAAATTTCCATCACTGTATCTCATATTAGTATGAGGCTTCCAATCAAACTTATTGCCATTGTTTCATCTAAAGCAAATCTGCTATGAAAAATCTGATTTATGAAATGGATATGTGGGGGAGGGAGAAACTACTTGCATCTCAACCTACAGTAAAGCATCCCAGCTCCATGCATTCAAAATACCTCCTCAGAACCACTTCCTGGTCCTGCCAGATTCACATTCCCCCATACCTGGATGGCTCCTGTAAGCCCCTGGGGAGTTATCCAGGATCACAATGCTAGAGAGGTCACTGTGGACCACAGAGAGGTCCTTGATGTAGCTGCCCAATTCCAAAGTGCAGTGCTGGAAGGCAGGGTGAGCTGGGTATCAAAAGGAGACTCACCCTCTGTGATTGTTTCCCCAATCCCAACAACACCATGGGCAGCCAAACTCCCACAAAGGGGATCATGCAATATGCCTCCCTCATGTCCCCAGAAGGTCTCATTCCAGGGCAATTGCCTCAGACTCAAATCCCTCCTTGGAGGTCAACCTCCAGAGCTTCACTCTTAGACCTGGATTCTAGCCCCTTACCTGTCTGTAGTATCTCCTCTTGAGAATGCTTCTGCTATTGTCCAGTTTATCTGCCACAGCAGAGCCATAAATCTCCATGCTTGCTGTGAACACTACCAACTCGTACCACTGGCTCACCTGAAATAGATAGGGGGAGAAGGGGGTGTCAGAAGAGATGATCCTTCACTTAGACACACAGTTCCCTTTCACTAGGACTCCAACCTAGTCCTTCTAAACTTTCAACAATATTAAATATCTCTGAGAGCACAAAATTCTGAGTGCCTCCAAACTCAGAGTCTTAGACACCATACACCCTTAAGAGTCAGAGATGCAAGAACAAGAAAAGCAGAAAGCCTGTGGAAGAATAGAATTATACCAGCAAAACAAATTAACCCAAACTACCAAAAGCCGTTCTCCAACCATCCCACAACCTCCCTTCCCGAAAATTGCCCTTCCCCATTTCTCTTTTCCCCTTACTGCCTCCAAATCCTCTAAATTACCAGAGCCCTGAAATCCATTCCTTCATCACAGAGCTCCCTTTGGCTTCTGTAAACTCACCACTTCTAAGAAGAAATCCACATGGGGCCTCTTATGTACAAAAAACCGGACAGGATGTTTGTCTATTACCACCTGTAGAGGAACAGGGAAGGGCTGGGGGAAGTCCTGAGGACCACAACACCGTTTGAAAGACACCCCTCACCCTCTTACTGCCTGCTTCCCTCTTTCAGGCTGACACTAGTACCAGGAGATGGGGATGGGGATAACACATTTTGGGATTGGGAAAGGTCTAAGTAGAACAACAAACATAACCATTCCATCACTTCCCACCCCACACACCTTGAGGATGAAGTCAGGAGGTGTTCCAGGTCGGACTGTAGGCCTCAGAACCCCATCATGATGGGAGTGAATAAGTGTCTCATCCAGATCCAGCACCAGGATCTTCCTCTTCACCTGGCCTAAACCACAAAAGGAAGGAATAACACCAACCAACCTCCAGTACAGACCTTGAACCCTACCTCACCTTAAAGGATCTTCCCAGCCAGGATACTCACCTAGCCGATTCCGGGACACAGGAGATAACGGAAGGATATCATATCGAACAGTTTGGTACTGAATTACCTGAGAACAAAAGAGAGGATTAAAACTCTTAACAAGGAAATCTTCCCTAGTAACAATATGTAGCACATGATGAACATTTACCATATGTTGGGCACCATGTGATTAAGGATTATTTCACTTATTTCTCAAAACAACCCTAATAATAATAATAATAATAATAATAATAATAATAATATAATCTCTGTTTCAAGACTAAAGAAACTGAAGTTGGAGAGGTTAAATATGTTGCCTAAGGCTACACAGCTAGGAATTATCTTATTTAGTTGTTTGTTCCAATTAGAATGCAAACTCCATGAGAGCATGGATTTTGTCTCCACTATGGCTGTATTCCTAGAACACTGTAGCAGGGGTGGTCAGTTAATATTAGAATGTGGTCAGTTAATATTAGAATTGATGAAGTGGTGGAGGCAGGATTGTACCTATGCAGTCCAATGCAAGAACCTGCCCACTTAACCATGATATCATCTTGCTACACTGAACAAAGAAATTCACAGCTCTTCCCACCACCATCCAAGATTCTTTGTGACAATTTCCATCAGCCTTAGATTCCTTAGTGGACATGCAGTAGGAGTCAAGAAGGGAGGTCCTTGGGTCCCTAGAGGGAACAGAGGATGAGGGAATCCAGGGGTTGTCAGGTCAGCTAAGTTCCTCTGGCGAGGGGCCACCAGGCCTATTTTAACCAGCCACCTGTCCATTTCTGTCTCTACGAGCCAAGTCACAAGTTGCAAAGAACCTCAGCCCTCTGAACAACCTCCTTTTCCTGATACCCAGGGCAAAGCAGAGGACATTGGAAAACCCCACCCGCCAAGCCGGCTGATAGGGTGTAGAGAAGGCCAGAGTGAAGTAAGGGCTGTAAGAGGTGAAGATGGAACAAGGACATGACCACCTCAGCCTTCCAGCTTCTCCAAGCCTTCTCCAGAAGCTCCTATTTCTAACACTCGAATCTCCCCCATGCAATGCCTGGCAATTCCCTCCTCTGCTCTTTTAAGGCACAAATGCTCTTCAGTCCATCCACAGGCCCTAAGCCTCACCAGAACCAGGTTCCCCCCTTGCAAACCAAAGGGCCCTCACCCCTAATCCCAAGGCATCTGCCCTTCTTTTCTCCCTGGGCCATCATGAGGGCCACAACAGCTCGGGTGTCCTGCCCTGCTATCTCGGGTTGCACATGCTGGGCATGTAGGGACTGCTCCAATTATCTGCCAGGAAGGGGGTGGGGGAAAAGACCAGGTTGGAAAGGAAGACAAGACAAAAGGCTATGGGGTCAGTGCCACTCAGAGGAAAGCAACTAGCCTCTGGATGGGCTGAAGCACTACTCCCTGCACCCAGAACAAAAACTGATGTGTTAGGGGAAGAAGGTGGGATGCTTAGAGCAATGCCAGGCAGAGGAATGGCAGTTAACATGTAAAGAAAACCACAGGTGCTGGACCCACACACATCCTAGCATCTCTGATTCCAAATTCTTCTTGGCATCTCTTATCTCAGGGAAACAGTCCTGCCTACAATCATGAACACCCAGAACAATCCTCATTCTAAATCAAAAGTGGAAGGAGTAGAATGGTAAAGGAGACACTAAATGAAAGTCCAGGCCCATTCCCCCAAATCAATAAAGTCTACCACCACTACCACCCAGGGTCTTCTAGAAATTTCTTGACCTAGGTAGCTCCTACCTGGTTTTATTCTTTCAAGTTTTATTGAGGTATGTCAAAGAATACAGACCACAAAACCTCTGCACCCCAGCTCACTTAATTCTCCCCAGACTCCTTCAGAGGACTCTCCCCACTGGTGATGAGAACACAAGAGCCCATTCATTAAATGTTGTTAGCCTAAGTAACTTTGACTTTGCAGAAAAGCTATTGGAGAGGGAACCCGGAGATACTCAGGATACATGCACAGTCTCCACTGCCCACAGTATCCCTCACAATGTCAGGGTCTCCATGAGAAATAAGGGTGAATGGCGCTAGGATTGAAGCCTACAACTGACAAACACAGTCTACTGATAGGAACACCCAAACTTTAATGTGCTCCCTTCCACAAATAAAGAAGCCCAACATAAAAAAGCATCTTAGTCCCAGGACCTCAATAAATCCAGATACTCAAACTCACACTGTGAAGTAAGTTTTCTGGGCCTTTTTGGAGGAGTTCCCTTAATACAAACCGCAGGGGATTCTCCTTCATACCCAGGACCTTTCCCAAGTTCCCATCTTGTTTGTCACATATATCCTCCCACCCACCTCCACTCTTGACACACAAACCTGTCTCTCCCTTGTTATAAGACTAAAAACACACGGAGTTCCCTAATAACAGGGGGGGTCTTTCATAAGTCCACATTAACAGATCTGCTGCCATCAAACAGGTGTTCCCCGCCTGTCGGTTCCTTTAACAGCAACTCTAGCTTTCTTAGGAGTGCCCCACCCACCACCCTAGCCCCCAAGAGTTGCCAAATCCTGTCGCCGTCTAAGACCCCCGGTCTCGGTTCTGCTACAAGGATCTCCCTCCTCCCCATTCCACCCCATGCCCTGCTAAAGATGCCCTAATTCTCTAAAGGAAGAATCCGCCGCCAGGACGAAACAGAGGCCCGACCCTTTCCGAAAACCCGTGAGCACCGCTGACAGAGGTCCCCCATCACGACCAGCGCCCACCCAGGCTCACCGTGCGGATCTGCCTCCGCAAAAGGTAAATGAAGAAGCTCCACAGCTTGGCGGCGAAGGCCACGAACGTGCGCAGCCCCAGCAGACACTGCGTCCGCATCATCCCGATGACCCCGGCACCGCCGGCCCCGGGGCCCCCGCGGCCCAGCTCCGCCAGCCCCCCGGGGGCAGCCCCCCGCCGCCGGGAGGGGAAACGGGGGCCCCTAATGGCAGGAGAGGCTGCAGAGAGGGGCACGGAGCGGGCGGCTCAGAAAGCCACCCCCGGCGAGGGGAAAGCCCAGAGGAACCAGGAGCTGGGGGACAAGCGTGGGCAGCCCGCAGGGGCCCACATGGGCAGGGAGTGGCACCGACGGCTTCGCGGAGATTACGGGCGAGATAGACCGGGGTAGGACGGGGTCCTCCGAGACCAGGAGGGAAGGGGATGGAGAATTGGGGGAGGGGGCAGTGGGGGAGGGGGCTAGGGAGAAAGAAGGGGGAGGGGAAGGAGGAAGCGGAGGGTGGCCCGCTGCGCAGGCGCGCTAGGGGGCTGCCCGCGGGAAAGGGGCGGGCGGGGGCAGCGGCGCGCGAAGGGCCGCGGCCCGGGAGAACGGGCCAGCTGAGCGAAGGAGGGGGAGGGGGAGCCGAAGGGCGCGGATGCCTGAACCAGAGCGGCCTCCCCCTCCCCGAGGTCGGGGGCGCCTTAGCCGCTGAAAAGCGGGGCTGCAATTTCTGCAGCTGGATTTCCTACTCTGACAGGCGCCATTTTATCACCCAGAGGGCTCCCTCCTCCTTTCTTCCCCCCTCCTCTTCCCCTTTGACACTACTTCCGGTGATGACGTGTATTCGCTTCACCCGGACTAATACTCCCCACTCGGTCTATGGGGGTGGGGATAAGGAAAGCGGTGTGAGCCCCGAACAAGGCCGCAGTATCGCGCACGCGCGGAAGTTGGCGGTGGGGCGGGAACTGTGGCGAAGCAGGCCCCGCCTCTAACGGGGTGAACGGGGCGGAGTGACTCCAGTTGACCTCAAGTTCGGGCGGTCGGACGGGCTTGTACGGCCCTCTCCGGCTCTCATTAACAACTGCCCCAACCGCTTTTCCCGCCCTAGTCACGGTAAAAAGGTAGAGAGGGGCGTCGTCCGTACTTATGTGCGCCAGGCACGGGAGGGTCCCCTCCGAGTGAGCTGAACATATTGTGACCTGAGATTATTGAACATAATGTGACCTCTCATTGCAGACATGGCCTCAGTGGTGGGAGGAATCATGGATGCCCCGCCCCTTTCCCCTGGAGGGGCTAGGGCAGCAGGCCGTGACGCCATCAGAGGGCGTCGGAGAAGAGACGGGACGGCACTTGGAGATGTTGGAGTCGCTGTTGGCTCTTGGCGGCCTGGTGCTGCTTCGGGGTGAGGGTCACAGGCACAGGGGCATCGGAACCAGGCTCAAGGAGCGGAAGTGGAGAGGAAGGGCTGTGGGTCACAGGCTAGGGGTGGCGGTTGCGACGGGTTCGTGACGGCGGAAACCTTCGTTCTCACGCTGTTTATCCGCCCGTCACTCTCCCCAGACTCTGTGGAGTGGGAGGGGCGCAGTCTCTTGAAGGCGCTTATCAAGAAATCGGCGCTGTGGTGAGTATCCCGCAGCATTTTCCCGCCCTATTCTGGAAGGAAGCCTGGCCCCACTCTTTGACACTCTGCTTCATATGTACCTCAGTGGAGAACAGATCCATATACTAGGCTGTGAAGTGAGCGAGGAAGAGTTTCGTGAAGGTTTTGACTCCAGTATCAACAGCCAGTAAGTACAAATTGGAAAAGAGTTAATTGGATGTTGGACCTCTGTTGCTAAGACATTTTCCTTACAGTAACAAGAGTAGAACCTGGTATGTAGTAGCAGCTACTTGTTCATTGAATGAATGGATATGAGTTTCAGGGGGTGAGAATTAGTAAGAGGAATGATAAGGAGTGTTGAGTATGTGGAAAATCCAAAGCAGAGATAGAATGAGAGAGAAATAGAGAGTAAAGGTTTTTTTATCCTCACCCGAGGACATTTTTTCCATTTTTTGTTCAGATAGAGTGGGAGGGAGAGAGAGAGAGAGAAACATCGACGTGAAAGGGACACGTCGAGTGGCTGCCACCTGCACAACCCAACCAGGGCCGGGGACAAACCACAACCAAGCTACGTGTCCTTAAAGGGAACCGAACCCGGGTCTCTCTGGACCGCAGGCCGATGCTCTAACAGCTGAGCCAAACCGGCCAGGGCTAAATTACTATTTTATTTGTAGTTACTACCACATAACTTAATTCTTGACCTTTGCTAAGCTGTTCTACAGGCTGGAACCATGTCTGAGTTCTTTCTTTTTATCCAGAGAATGAAACACTTTAGGCACCACTCAAAACATATTTGACAGTAATGATAGGTAACATTTATGAAGTATTTAGTATGTCTCAAGCACTGTGCTAAACGTCAAGATATTTGTATTCCTGTTTTACAAATGAAGAAACTGAGTCTTAGATTACCTAATTTATCAATTAGGTGACCTTGGGCAATTAGCAAACCCAAGCTTTGAGCTCAAGGCTGTCTGATGCCAAAGTCTGTGCACTCATTCACTATATTCTACTTAGTCATTACCTTTCACTGGTATTTAAGATATTAGTGAAAATTGACAACAAATCATCAAACGAGTGTTGGTGAGGGTGTGAAGAAAAGGGGACAGTGGAATACTATGCAGCTGTAAGCAAGAGAGATCTCTTATCCTTTGAGATGACATGGAGGGATCTGGAGGGTATTATGCTAAGCGAAATAAGCCATTCAGAGAAAGACAAATATCACATGATCTCACTCATTTGTGGAATATAATGAACAAATAGTACAAGCTGATGAACAAAATAGACCCAGAGACATAGAAGTAGGGTACAGACTGACAAACCTCAGAAGAGGGGGATAGGAGGGAGGAGAGAGAGAAACCACAGAATTTATATGCCTGTATGCATAACCAGTGGACATAGAAAGCAATGCGGGGGTGGGGAGCAGGATGGGAAGGAGGGTGTCAATGGGGGAAAAGGGAGAAACGTCTGTAACAAAAATATATTAATAGCCCTGCCCAGTTTGGCTTAGCAGTTAGAGCATCAGCCTGCGGTCCAGAGAGACCCATGTTTGGTTCCCGCTAAGGGCATGTACCTCCGTTGCAGTTTGTTTCCAGTCCTAGTTGGATCGTGTGGGTGGCAACCACTCAATGTGTCCCTTTCACCTCGATGTCTCTCTCTGTCTTGCTCTCTCTCCCTCCCACTCTATCTGAACAAAAAACGAAAAAAATGTCCTCGGGTGAGGATAAAAGAAAATAGAATTAATAAAAATTGTAACAACGTTTTGGCTCGGCCTGCGGTCCAGAGAGACCCGGGTTCGGTTCCCGCTAAGGGCATGTACCTCAGTTGAAGTTTGTCCCCGGCCCTGGTTGGGTCATGTGGGTGGCAACCACTCAATGTGTCCCTTTCACGTCGATGTTTCTCTCTCTCTCTCTCCCTCCCACTCTATCTGAACAAAATATTGAAAAATGTCCTCAGGTGAGGATTAAAAAAAAAAAATTGTAACAACAAAAAAAGATGTTAGTGAAAATTGAGAAAACAGAGCAATGAAGATCAGAGGATGAATTTCAAGTTTGGGGGGAGGGGACAGTATTATGTTGTCTCCTATTTTCTCTTTGCAGGCTGGTTTACCATGACCTCTTCAGAGACCCTCTTAACTGGTCAAACACTGGGGAAGCCCTTCCTGGAGGGGCCCTGGGAGTCTTAAGAGCCATGTGCAGGAGGACAGGTTCTGGTCCTGTTACCATTGCTCTTGATTCACTTAGCTGGCTGCTGCTTCACCTTCCCTGCACCATACTCTGCCAGACCTTGCATGCTCTGAGCCATCAGGACTCCCGCCATGGTGAGACCCCTCCTTCATTACTTAACCCTCCTACATCGCCCCTGCCAAGGAACATGCCCCTTTCTACCCTAAAAAAACATCAGGGCCCTGGCCAGTTTGGCTCAGCAGTTAGAGCGTCAACCTACGGATCAGAGTCCCGGGTTCGATTCTGGCCAAGGGCACACACCTCAGTTGCAGTTTGTCCCTGCCCTGGTTGGGGTCATGTTAGAGGCAACCAAATCGATGACATCAATGTTTCTCTCTCTTCCTCCTGCTCTGTCTGAAGATAAAGGGAAAAATATCCTCGGGTGAGGATTTTAAAAATAAAGTATCAGGGATCTCCAAGTGGGTCTTCTTTCATCTCTTTAACCTTTATACCAGTTCTTGATTTCTCTGTATTGCCACCTACCAATCATTTCTTTCTTTTTCCAAGTTCTTTTTTACTAATCTATTTTACTTATTCATTCAACAAATGCTAAATACATACATTGTGTCAGATACAATTTTAGATACTGGGAAAGTAAAGACTAACTGTAGTCATGTCCTTGTCTTCTAGGAACTCAAAGTTCATCAAGGATACAGACAAGTAAACAAGCAGTTACAAGATACTCTGATAAGAGCCATGATGATAAAGGAATATGTAAAGAATACCTTAAGGAAGGAACTGTCTTGGAACAAGGGGTCAGCCTGGCAAATTTGGACAGGCCCATGGCACTAGGACTAGCCTTGAAATACATGGTAGGGCAAAAGTAGGTTTATAGTTGTAAGTAAATGAAACGAGTTTATTTCTGTATTATTAATTTATTATATTCTTTTCCATATACAAACAACTGTAAACCTATTTTGCTTCACCCTGTGGGTACTAGCATGGGCTTTGGAGTAAGATAACATAGGTTTATATTAAGGTAGTTGATATCTCAGTGTTTCAGTTTCCTCCAGCGGTTCTCAACCTGTGGGTCGCGACCTCTTGAGGGGTGGAACGACCCTTTCACGGGCCACCTAAGACCATCGGAAAACACACATTTCTTTTTTTTTTTTTTTTTTATCCTCACCCGAGGACATTTTTGCATTTTTTTGTTCAGACAGAGCGGGAGGGAGAGAGAGGAAGAGAGATAGAGAGAAACATCGATGTGAAGGGATACATTGGTTGCCACCCGCACGACCAACCAGGGTCGGGGACAAACTGCAACCGAGGTACGTGCCCTTAGTGGGAACCGAACCCGGGTCTCTCTGTACCGCAGGCCGAAGCTCTAACCGCTGAGCCAAACCGGCCAGGGTGGAAAACACATATTTCTAATGGCAATTCATAACAGTAGTAAAATTACAGTTTTGAAGTAGCAACGAAAATAATTTTATGGTTGGGGGTCACCATAACATGAGGAACTGTATTAAAGGGTCACGGCATTAGGAAGGTTGAGAACCACTGGTTTCCTCTGTAAAAGTGTGAAATTGCCATTTTATATAGTTCAGGTATAGTCAAATGTCAAATATGACATTTATATGAACTATATAAAATGGTTCAATCTAAAAATGTTGACCTTTGTAAGGATTGAGATGTTATATTAAAGTGTTTAGTGCAGTGCCTGACGCTCTGTAAATGTTCCCCAAAAGGGAGGGAATCAAAGGCACTGACTGGGAACTTGGCAAGTTCCAAAACCTGCAAGTAATTCAATATGTAAGAGATGAAACAGGGACCAAGTGATAAAAGTGTTGATTCATCTTTAAGGCCATGAGTTGTTTCTGAGGGTTGTAGTCAGAGTGGTGCCTTGATCAGATTTACATTAGAATTAAAAAGTACATAGAAGGTGAGAGCTGAAAGAGGGTCAGTGCAGGACCATGAAACAAGCAAGTCAGGAGTGTGGCAGAACTGTGATGGAATGTGGGCCTGCCTCTCCTTTTCTCCTCTTCACTATTTGATCTCAGGCCTCCCTACTGTCCTATGTATCCTACATTTCTTGTTCCTCTCCAGATGACAGCTCCCCAGTAGAACACATGCATGTGCTGGGCCTGCTACATGAAGAGCTTCATGGCCCAGGCCCCGTGGAAGCATTGAGCACCCTTGCTCAGACTGAGGTGACCCTGAGTGGTACAGGGGGCCATACCTTGGCTCACATTCTCTATCGGAGGCCCCAACAGCACCCAACACATAAGGTCAGGAGAAGCATGGGAGGGCTAGAGGTTGGGGTCAGGGAGAGGGGAAGAACAACAAAAAGCTGATACAATGGAGCACTTCTCTGTGCTTTCGTTTCATTGTGAGATAGTTTTATTTTCCCCTTTTTGCAGCCTGAGAGACAGATCACGTGAGCTTAACCAATAAAAGCTACTGCCTTCCAGGAAATGGAATGAGAGAAAAGACTGGGAGTGGTTACTAGGGAGGAGAAGGAACAAGTCCATATGGAGAGGTTTGAAGGAGGGGTGAGAGGTGGAGAGCAAGAACAGAAAGCAGCCAGTTGCATAGCTGATTGCGGCTAGAGGTATTAGGTCTTTAGCTCTCTCTGGTTTATTCAGGAAGATTGAAAACAACTTTAATACTCTCCTTTCTTTTCCCCAGACTCAGTGGTTCTCCATCCTGCCTGACTTCAGCCTGGATCTCCAAGGGGAGTCTCCCCTAAAATCCCAGCCCCACTCAGATCCTCACATACCCCGGGTATCTAAGTTCCAGGGCCAGAACAAGAGAAAGGATGTGGGGTCTGGCAAAAAGAATAAAAACTGCAGAGGTTGGGGGTGGGGTCAGATTACAAGGATGGGGCATAGTGGCAGCATCCTTTGTACTTACAGATGGATCCCACTACACACTTGACCTTTAACCTTCAGCTGTCCAAGAAAGAGAAGGAAGCCAAAGATAGCTTGACCCTGCCCTTCCAGTTCAGCTCTGAAAAGTAAGGTTTTGGCCTATGTGTCTGAGTCCTTGAATAAAGCCCAGCATCTGGGCCCAGGAGGTGGGGTGACAGCAGGTTATTGATTAACCTCTCAGACTTTATAAGGGTTGAAGTCCATCTCCAGAGCCAAGTCTGGGGAGTGGTTCTCTACCCACCCATACCCCAACAAAAAGCCTTTGTCTCTTTTTTTTCTCCATTACAGCCTTGGGTCCCAGCTCCACAATTGTCCCCAGAGCAATCTAGGTCTAAGCTGAGCCAGACCAAACCCTGGGGAACTGGCCTTCTCTCTAGACTAGACCCTGGGAAAATGGCAGTGCTAGGACAGGAAGCTAGATGGGGAGGGCAAAGGCAGGTTAATAAGGGCTTAGTAGATACTTGTTCTGTGCCCTGTGTGTGGGTGGATGAAGCAAGACTGTGTCAGGATCCTTGCCCTTAAGCCACTAAGAATAAAAATTTGTGGAGTATTATTAGGAGAGAGGTATTAGAGTATCTACTTCCAGTATCAAATGGTGCTTCAGTACTAATTAAACCAGGTCAGAGAAAGGGACTTGGACCAAGAAAGCATGGAGGAAAAAGAGAGTCACAGTCAGCAGGTACAGAGTATTAAGACAGGACCCGTTACCCACCCTCACCAGCACCAATTCTTCTCTTATCTCTCAGACAGCAGGCTCTACTGTGCCATGGTCTAGGCCAGGCCACCAGTCACATCTTCTATGAGCCAGATGCTTATGATGACCTGGACCAAGAGGACCCAGATGATGACCTAGATATTTGACTAGACTGTAATTGAAGGGGGCTCTGGGAAGACCTTGGGTCCATAACCATCGTTCCATTGTTCAAGTTGACCTTACCTCATCCCTGACCCATCTTTGTTTCCTGTCTCTCTGGATGCCCTACCCTATGACCCATGAGCCAGGGAGCAGCGTCCAGTCAGGACAAAAACTGGGGTGGGGGCAGAGGGGAAAAAGAGAGACTAGGAGATCTACCCCCCCCCCCAGCCTAATAAAATACCTTTTCATTAAAAAATAAACTTTGGTAGCTATTTAAACAAGAGTTGGGAGTGGAAGGGAAAGGGATGGGAATAGATGAAGGAAACCAAGCACCTGAGTCTTCTGGAGTTAATAGTATTGGGGTCTGAATAACAAGTGCTGGGGACATAGCTGGTGCCCAGTGTATTTTTGCTGAAGTAGGTATATTTGAGGTTCTGGGCTCCCTGCAAGGATCTCGGTAGGAAGAAAACAGGCCCTGAAGGGGGGAGAAAGACACCTACTTTCCAAAACATACTTTTTATTACTGTACAAAAAGCACATCGCCCCTCTTGTTCTCCCCCACCCAGCCCCCAGGGAACTGTACATGGTGTGCAGGACTGCAGTGACCTGTGGCTTCTGCACATCCTGCCCACGGGCTGAGCTCTCTGCCCCAGGTCCTTTCAAGTGTCTAGGCTGCCAGGTTGGGGCAAGGGAGTCCCAGCTCACACATATTCCTTGGCAGAATTGGGCTTCGAGTAGGAGCGGGGTGCATGGTACCCAACTTTGCTTTCACTCCCAGGACAGGAGCAAGAGAGCAGTGCACCTCCCAAGAGAGTCAGAGCAGACCCTGCCCAGCCAATGAAGATGGCAGGACCAAACTCATATCTGTGGAGAGAGGGGATTGGGGTCAAAAACCCTGGCCTGCCTCTCACCACCCCAGACCTGTCCCCTTAGGAGGCAGGATTCCCATACTTACTTAATATTCATGGGGACCAAAGGGTTATAAAAGTCTGTGATAATCATGTGACCATACCAGGAGCAAGCTGTCAAAGCTGCAAGACCTAGAAAGACAATGAGAATTTAGATGTTGTGAGACCCACCCCCCCAAAACCAGCACCATGCCCACCCTCGCTCCTCAGAGCCCTTGAGGTTACCTTGGACCTGTGACTCACCTGCCACGATGAAGATGATGCCTCCAGTCATGGCTATACGGGCCTTCTTAACTTTGTCATCTCCCCCACAGCGTGTGCACTTCATGCCCATCGTGGCCACGAACATGGCTAGGAAGCCCAGCACTAGGGATACCACCATCAGGGCTCTAGTGGCTTGAAGGGCCGCTGTGAGGAAGGAGGAAGGACTTTCATTGCTGGAAGTGCTGGCAGCCTTCGGATGGCTCTAGCCCTGGAGCCGGTCTGCACCGGTCTGAGATACCCTCGGCGACCAAGTCCCGGGCTGGTTTTGGGTGGATCCCCGTGCTGCGGCCTTCCAGCTCCGCCCCGCCCTATCTCGGCTCTCGGACCCGCCCGGGGCGCCCAGGTTTCGATGAAACTATCCCCGGTAGGGGGAAGGGTGAAAGGGGACAGTGGAGGCGGGGGCTGAAGACTCCAAACGGGCCACAGAAGACGGCCCGCATCCCAGTTCTGACCCCACTATCGAGGTCACGGGGTTTGTGACTTCGTCTAACTGGTCGATAAGATTAGAGGCCGCAGGCGCCTGCCCACGTCTGACAAGAGCGCACGGCTCCTTCGCCTGACCCCGAACCACCCTTTGTCCGAAAGAAAAGGGCGGGAGTGGGTGAGGCCATTGCCCGCCTAGTGCGGTGAGGAAGAGACCCTGGCCCAGGACCCAGCTACCCCTTGAGGAGCTGGGGGTAGAAGAAGGATACAGCCGATGGGCTGCAGGCCCACGTGTAGCCGCTGGAACTCCGGCCAGCCCCACTGTCCCGTCCCGACCTCTTCCACTCCCTCCTCTCCCCGACGGCTCCCAGGCAACCTAGGGCATCAGACCGCGGGGCCCCGGCCCTGCCTCGCAACCCACCCCGTGACCTCGGCCCTGGGCGCGTTCGCCCCGTCTGTCTTACGGCCTTACCCGGCAGGGCGAGCACCGAATCGTACATTTTGCAGCTTATCACTCCCGTGCTCTGCGTGACGCAGTCCATCCACAGCCCTTTGTACATGGCCTGGGCCGTGATGATGTTGTCGCCCGCGTACGAGCTCATCTGCCATTGCGGAATGGCGGTGCACACGATCAGGCCCACCCAACCCAGCAAGGCCATGGAAAAGCCCAGCAGCTGCAGGCCCGAATTGGCCATTCCGCCCTCAGAAAAGACTGGGGGCGCAGGCGGGTGCCTCAGCAGTAGAACAAACAAACTTTGAGGGGCAACCCCACAAGACAACTTGAGTTGGAGTTATAAGTCGCCCAAAGTGAAAAAAAAAAAAAAGGTTTTGGTAGAGTAACTGCAAATTTCTTATCACCCAAAATAAACACAAATCGCCCCTCCGGCGGGGCGAGGGTTTCACAGCAGAGGGAACAGGTTACTCCCGGAGGACTGCTTGTCGACAAAGGCGATTCCCGAAGTCCAGGCCGTTCCCTTCGGCGCTCTCGGCGACGCTTCCCAAACAAAAGGTGGAGGGACCGTATGGGCGGTCCTGGGTGCTGGAAGTCCCCAAAGTACCCTGGGCTGTCGGCCCGAGGCTGAAGTGGAGGCAGCGGTGAGCGGGTAGATGCGGGCGGACAGGTGCGGCGCACCTGAGTATATGTAGGGCGTCGGGGGCGCGCCCCCGCGGGCACTAGGAGCGCCAGAGGGAGCGGAACTGGAGGGGCGGCCAAGGGTGACCTGACGTCACCGAAGGGACACTCACCTGGGCCGGAAGTCCTGGCCCCCACCCCTCCTCTCCCAGGTATAGAGGAAGAAACCTGAGCACCAGGGTCACGCCCCTTCACTTGCCCGTCTTTGACCGCTAATGGGAGGAGGCCTCTTGGAAGTCAGCCCCTCTGGACTTCGCTCGGGGACCAGGATGCCCCTTCCCGGCTCCGCAACAGGTGCGCCAGAGACGCTGGGGAGCCAGAGCGCGGACGACGCCCCTGGCCAGCCTTCGCTCCGCCTCCCCCTCCCCCCTACACACACACACCGCTGGGACTCTTGGATTCTACTCTAGGCGCTCTTTGTCCCGCCCCCTACTTTCCACCTACCTGCTCTATTCCTTTTTCTTCAGCCTCCAGCTTAGCAGACTCCACCTTCAGGGGCCCTGGCTCCAGTTTCTCAGAACTCTCACTTCAGCAGCGGTGTTGGTGTCGCCACCGAGAGCCACCGCCCCCAGCACACACCCACACCCTCCGCTGTCCGTTGCCCACCTATCCTGCCTTCCAACAAACACCTGGCTTGCAGTCATAACCTCCCGTCTTCTTGGCCCCCTCCATTAAAATCGCGGAACTATCTCGGCTCTCGGATCCGCCTGACGTGACTAAATGCCTGGACCCTCCCAGTGGTCACTATCCCCTCCCGCATCAAGGGCCCTTGTAACATAAGGAAGAAACCACTGAAACCAGAAGCCAGCAGAGGATGGGGAGCAGGGTAAGGCCTCCATTACAACCTTGGTCACATCCCTCATTCCTACCCTTGGAGCCTTTCCAAACTTGTCATTCACGTTTCCCTCTTCTCCCGTGCCCCCAGCCTTACACATATTTGTCTTTCATTCTGAGCTTGGACTAGCCTATTTGTGTGCGCTCTCGCATTCTCTCAGTCCTCCCTAACATCTGGCTCTAATGTGACCTTTGATTCAGCCCTCAGACTCCTACCTCACCCTCGGGTTTCTTCTCGAACTCTCCTCAAACTATTTCCCCATCCTTCCTCAGCATCCCACATTCACTCATTCCTCCCTCGTTGTTTATCATCTCCCCTTTCCTGCCTTTACCACTTCCTATTTCACCCCTTTCTCTTCTAGTCTACCTATGTACCCTACCTATCTCCAGCCCTCTTGGAGTCCAGCATCACCAAGTAGTTTTTCTTTGCATCTTCCTGTCCAGTTTCCTCCCAATCTTTCTCTCCTCCCACCTAGTCACATTCTCAGACTCGAGCACCTTGCTTACTCTTTCTCTATTTTATTTTTCTCTCTCCTTTTTTCCTTACAATTTTCACACATTTTCCATTTTTGTCTCGCTCAAACATTTCTCTATAGGTCTCTCCTTCTTGTATTAAAAAAATATACATATATAAGGGCCCCCTCATAGCAAGCCAATTAACCTGCTTTTTATAAAATGCAGACTTCACCCTGGCCGGTTCGGCTCAGCGGTTAGAGCGTTGGCCTGCGGTCTGGAGAGACCAGGGTTCGGTTCCTGCTAAGGGCACGTACCTCGGTTGCAGTTTGTCCCCGGCCCTGGTTGGGTCGTGTGGGTGGCAACCACTCGATGTGTCTCTTTCACGTCCATGTTTCTCTCTCTCTCCCTCCCACTCTATCTGAACAAAATATCAAAAACTGTCCTCAGGTGAGGATAATTAATTAATTAATTAAATGCAGACTTTAAGGAACTCTTTTTTTATTCAATTTTCCCTTACTCTTTGGTTAATGGTGGTATTTGTTTGTTTGTTTTATCCTCACCCCAGGACATTTTTCGATATTTTGTTCAGATAGAGTGGGAGGGAGAGAGAGAGAGAGAGAGAAACATCGATGTGAAAGGGACACATCGAGTGGTCACCACCCACACGACCCAATCAGGGCCAGGGGACAAACTGCAACCGAGGTACGTGCCCTTAGTAGGTACGTGCCCTTAGCGGGAACTGAACCCGGGTCTCTCCAGACCGCAGGCCAACGCTCTAACCGCTGAGCCAAACCGGCCCGGGCAATGGTGGTATTTGTTAAAGGTGCTTTCCAGCCCTGGCCAGTTTGGCTCAGCGGTTAGAGCGTCGACCCGCGGAACAGAGAGACCTGGTTCTGTTCCCGCTAAGGGCACGTACCTTGGTTGCAGTTTGCCCCTGGCTCTGGTTGGGGTCGTGTGGGTGGCAACCTGTCCATGCATCTCTCTCATGTTGATGTCTCTCTCTCTCCCTCTCTATCTCAAGATGTCCTCGGGTGAGGATAAAAAATTTTTTAAAAAATAAATAAAGGTGCTTTCCAGCCTGGCTGGTGTGGCTCAGTGGTTGAGCATTGACCTATGCACCAAGGGGTCACCAGTTTGATTCCTGGTCAGGGCACATCCCAAGTGGGGGGCATGCCGGAGGCTGCTGATTGATGTTCTCTCTCATGGGTGTTTCTATCTCTCCCTCTCCCTTCCTCTCTCTTTAAAATCAATAAAGAAAAAACAAAAAAAAAAATTTTTTTTTTATTTATCCTTACCCGAGGACATTTTTTTCCATTTTTTGCACAGATAGAGTGGGCGGGAGAGAGAGGAAGAGAGAGAGAGAGACACATCGATGTGAAAGGGACACATCGAGTGGCTGCCACCCGCACGACCAACCAGGGCCGGGGACAAACTGCAACAGAGGCACATGCCCTTAGCGGGAACCGAACCCAGGTCTCTCCGAACCGCAGGTCGACGCTCTAACCGCTGAGCCAAACCGGCCAGGGCCCTGCTTCCTTTCTTGTCCTTTGAAAATATAGTCTCTGGAAGCAACTTAAAAAAATTAAAAAACTTATATCTTGTCACTTCTTGTTAAAAATCCTTAATATCTTCCAATGGCACTCTTTTGCTCCCATTGCTCCACTGGATTTGGCAAATGCCATACTATAGTTTACTAGACTCTGCTTCAGCCACACTGGCATGTCTCTGTTCCTGAAACATACTTCCCACCAAATTGCCTTTGCACCCTCTGTTCTCTATGCCTGGATGTTCTTCTCCATTTACTCCCACCCATCTTCCTCTTCCTAGCTAGACAATTAACCCTTCAGCTATCAGCTCAAATATCACTTCTCCTAGGAAAGCTGGCCTGACTACCCCACCCCAGACTGAGTCAGATCACCTGCTGAATGCTGTCACCGCTACTTGCACTTTACTTTCAAAGCTCTTATCATAGTTTGAAACTATTTACTTTGTGCGGTTATTTATTCAATGTCAGTCTCCCACTGTACTAAGTTCCAAGAGGGCAGAGATGTGTCTGGGGTTTATCATCAATAAATATTTGATGAATAAATGAATAAAATTGAAAACTAACAATATTTTCATCCACTTGTTCAACAAATGCTTTTTGAGTGCTTATATAATGTACCAGGCACCATGTTTGACACTGAGGATACAGCTGTAAACAAAACAGATAAGGACACTGTGCTCACATAACTTAGATTCTAGAGAGTGGAAGCAGACAATAAAGACATAAACAAAATGGTACATGTTTTGAAGGTAATAAAACAGGTTAATGTGATGAGGTTGGGTCCACTCCAGAGGTCAGGGAGACCATTCTAGGAAGTGTGAATAATGAGCCATCCGTGAAAGAACCATGTTATAGCCAGAGGTAACAGCAAGTGCTAAAGCCCTGCGTCAGTTGTCCCTTTGAGACATGTAGTATTAATTTAAAGCAGGATCTCTTAACCTCACACTATTGACATTTGGGGCCATAATTCTTTGATATGGGTGACAGACCTGTGCATAGGATATTTAGCATCCTTAACTTTTACTGATTAGATGCCAGAACTTTTCCTTGAACCTCTCAGTGTGACAATAAAAAAAATGGGTGCAAGGAACAAAAATAGATGGATAGTTGGGATTAACCAAGGTTGGTAGCTAAAGAGAGAGAGAGGGAATTTTTAAGGTATTTGCAAGAGAAAGTTTTATGTTTTAGATCATTGATATAAATTTAGTGAAAAAGGAGAGTAAACATAAAAAAAGAGTTGGTGGCCCTGGCCGATTTGGCTACCCTGACCAGTTTGGCTCAGTGGTTAGAGCGTTGGCCCGCAGACTAGAGATCCCCAGGTTCAGTTCCTGCTAAGGGCATGCACCTCGGTTGTGGTTTATCCCTAGCCCCGGTTAGGGTCATGTGGGTGGCAACCACTTGATGTGTCTCTCTCTCTCACGTTGATGTTTCTCTCTCTCTCTTCCTCCCTTTCTCCCTCCCACTCTATCTGAAGATAAATGAGAAAAAATAAAAAAGGTTGGTGGATGATAAAAAATAAACTGATAGGTTCAATGGTTCAGATGTCTCCATGAAGTGAAAGGAATACTTGAGTAAATGAACTGGAAGGCTAGAAGGTGATCATTAGAGGTGGGAGGTTCAAGTTAAATAAATTGCAGGAGGTTGTTTTGGAGATGACAAAGCCTAGGGATGGGCTAAAGAGAAAAATCATTGGCTAAGATGAGACTAAGGGTTGAGAGGCTACAATTTGTTGGAGTACCCTGATGGATTTTGAAGTCAGCAACAATTAATGTAGGGACATATGTGTAGGAAGATGATGAGCCAGGTGTTAAAGTTATCAGTGAATGTGGACGAATGAGCAGGCTGGAAGACCCTAGAAACAATTAGAGGTAGTGAGTGATATACTTGCAGACATGAACTTCAAAGAAGCAGAGGATTTTTGTTTCTTTTGTTGAGATCTTTTTATTTTATTTTTTTGTCCTCGGGTGAGGACTTTTTTTTTTTTTTTTTTTTGCATTTATCTTCAGGTACAGCGGGAGGGAGAGAGGAAGGAAGAGAGAGAGAGAGAAACATCAATGTGAGAGAGACACATTGACTGGTTGCCACCCACACAACCCCAACCGGGGCTGGGGACAAACTGCAACCAAGGTACAAGCCCTTAGCGGGAACCCCTGTCTCTCTGGTCCGCAGGCCGACACTCTAAACACTGAGCGAAACCAGGGCAATTGATTTTCTTTTTTTTAAGAGAGAGAGAGAAACATCAACTTGTTGT